AGCAGTGGACCCAATGAGGGACACGACTGAGCAGAAGGGAGAGTTTCTCGGTTGTTCTCTAATTTCTGAGCAGGTGGTTACCATCAGAGACACAAGACTTGATAGTGGAGTGGGGATATAAAATCCCAAAACTGTTTGTCATAAAGAATCCCATGCCCAATAAAAGCAAAGGCAGATGTTCACATAAAGTTTTTGCTGTCTGTGTTTTTGTGAGGGCATTTTTTGGAGATGAAGTTTATTAGTAAGGCACAGCAGTATCTGCCCATCTATGCTGTCACATAATAGCGGTCTTACGACCCATTTATGGGGCTTGAATTATTTTTGTTAATGATTTTCATGGTGGTAGATGAAATGCAATGTGCACCAGCTGTAACTATGTTTATCACGCAGCTGCCTTCCACGGAAGCCCCCAAACCTCAGACACCATAGACTTCTAGATTGTCAGAGGAGGCTTTGTCTCACAGAGTGTGAAAGACAAAAAGGAACCAAATCCATCTTTCATACGACTGTGACACCATCACAGAGTGGTGTGATACAGCACAAATTTATTACCTATAGTTCTGAAGATCAGAAATCCAAAGTTATTCTAACAGGGTTAAAATCACAATACATGTGTGTTCACAAATGTGTGTATGTCACAAACTGTTATGTTGCCCTCTCCAGCTTCGACAGGACACCTGCCTTCCTTGGTTTGTGCTCTTCCCTCACTCTTCAAAACCAGCTGACTAGGGGACTTGTGGGTTAGCTCAGTTGTCTAAAGTGCTGCTTAGGCAAACTCAGTCAAGCACCGGGGACCGTGGCTCAATACTCAGCACCACATGCCACACCAGATCTGCTCTTAAGGCAGTCTGAACCAGCCAAAAAGAAAAAAGAAAAAAAAAAAAAAGAATTCTCCTCAAAACCAGCAGGCTTATCTTCTCTCTCTTTCCTCCTTTTTCCATCCTTATATATATTCAATATATCTCAGATGCTCCTAATCTCCTTCATATAAGCATTCTTACAATGACGTTGGCTCCACTCATATAATCTCCTCATCTTGAGATCTTTAACTTAATTACAATCTGCCAATTATCTTGTACAGTATGTGACCATGAGATTCCCATGACTGCCACAAAATACCCAAGATAATCAACTTAGAAAAAGAGAAAGATGCTATGAACATGGGTGCACAGATATCGCTGGGGTATAATTTTCAGTTCTTCTGGAAAAATACACAGGAAGAGAACAGCTCAGTTAAATAAGACCTCCATCCTAGTTTTTTGAGGAATCTCCACAGTGATTTCTATACTGGTTGTACCAGTCTACATTCCCAGTGAAGAAGTGTTTCTTTTTCCCCAGAGCCCCAATAGCACTTGTTATCTGTTGACTTCTTGATGATAGCCATTCTCTCTGGAGTGAGATGGAATCTCAGTGTTATTTTAATTTACACTTCTCAAACGATCAATTATGTTAAACACTTTTTCAAATATTTGTCATAGCTAAATCTTGGAAACAACCCAAATGCCCATCAACTAAGGAATAGATAAAAAAGATGCGGTGTTCTTACATAATGGAATATTACTCAGCTATTTGAAAGACAAACTTGAGGCTTGTATGGGTAAATGGATGTAACTAGAGACTATACTCATAAGTGAAGTAACTAAGGCCTGCACGCGCAAACATCTTACTGGCTTGCTAGTGTAACAACCTGAAAGAGCAAATAAAATCTGAGAGGTACAATAGCTACTGAGAAAGGGAAAAACTACTCAAAGGGAAGGAATAACTGGGATGAGGGAAAGGAGAAAAGAAAGAAGAAAGGGGATATATACATATATATGTATTATATATGTATTATATATGTATATATGTACACTGTACATATATGTGTATATATATGGTATCTTGGATAATTATGCTGTTGATTTCTACTGGTCTATTGAACAGAACAATTAATACTTAATTTTTTTTTCTTCTCAATTTTTTGACAAATTTTGTCTGCTTCTCTTAATCTTAACAAATTTGAAGAAAAAATAAAAAAGCACTTTAACCACCATTGTTGAATTCCTAAAAAGAAAAACAAGTGAAAGTTTTGCTTCTACTCACACTTTCAGAGGTCTCAGTCCACCCCTGGCTGACCCAGTTGCTCTTGTTCGCACATCAAGGCAAGAGCCTGGGACAGAGGAAGTCGCCCCTCTGCTCATGCTACGGTGGCTGGGAAGTGAAGAAGAAAATGAGCGAACTCTAAAAATGGCCTCCAAAGCCATATCCCTCGTGACCTAAAACCTCCCTCTAGGATCCACTTCTTAAAGCTTCCCACCACTTTCCAATGGTGCTAAGACAGGCCTTTGAGACACATTCCAGATGCAAACTGTACCATCAGATATCATGTAGAGAGTGTGTGACATTTTCAGGAAGGAACCACTCAGTGGTCAGCCCCCTCCAGACACCATTGAGACAAACCCAGGTCCAAGGGATACAAACTCACCAGAAGGTGACTGCTACCTGTGGCAGTCCTGTGACAGTAGCCTCAGCACCCTCACAAATTCCACTTTTCCACATATCGCTGGAAAAAATAGATTCAAGAATGTCCTGAAGGAGACCTTAAAAATAAACTTAAATTTATTGAGGAATGAGTACAAGACTGAACCAGTGATTAAAGAAAATATCTACATAGGAAGCTTGTCTTTTTTAAAGCATGTTTTTATGCAAGAGCTTTTAAAAAATATTACACACTTGCTAGGACCCAGTACTTTGTAAAGATGTCATGTGCAGCAATAATGTAAGAAAATAGTAAGAAAACAGATCATCAAGGAAGCGCATGTACGTTTACAGAAGCTCTTGTTTCTACTCCTCCTCTGGATCCTCCTTCTCTTTCTCCCACTGTAACTCTGGTCGTGTGTGTGTGTGTGTGTGTATTTGTGTGGTGTGTGTGTGTTTCTGTGTGTGTGTGTTTCTGTGTGTTTGTGTGTGTGTGTATGGGGGGGTGTGTGTGGGTGGGTGGGTGTTTGTGTGTGTGTGTGTGTGTGTGTGTGTGTGTGTGTGTGTGTTTATTACAAGGTCTACAGGGTCTACAGGACCTCACTACATAGTACAGACTCCTAGTGATTCTGCTGTTTTCAGCCTCCCAAGTGCTGGGATTGCAGGTGCCCACCACCAAGCCCAGTCTCAATTGCCATCCCAGAGTGCCCCGGGGGCAGGGCCGGCATACCATACTGGGGATCGAACCCTGGCCACTGCACTCTGCTGAAGTAGCTTTGTGTGATTTTGAAAATCACTAGTGGATACAATGCTGATTCAAACTCCTTGCTTAAAGTAAAGGGCAAACCTCAGCCCTCAGAGGTTTGTTCCATGGATTAAACCTAATTCAGTATTTACTTATTTCACAATAAAGTCAATCTTATGTCAGTACTGAGGATTTGTCTGGGAATCTAAGGAACTTGAGTTTAGTTTTCTCACTTTTACCCAGAGTTGGCAGTCGCAAAGAGGAGGATCATAGAATCTTGGATTAAGATATGTGTAGACATACTGTCTGTCACAGTTCTCCTCCAAAATGATGGGATCTGTGTTTGGCAAATATTTCCCAAGGTCCCACTTGTACCTTGGTTTTTCTGCCTATGTGATAGGCAGGAAGAATGACTGCTGAAAGCTAAAGGCTGCATTAAATTCAAGTCTTTGGGCGACCAAGTACATTTAAGAGACTTGTGATGTGTTTCCTATTCTCATTAAGTCAGGTAGGGCAGGCCAAATAGCTCAAAGGATTAAAGCTCCTGCAAGCAGGTACAGGGGCCAGGGATTCGATTCCAGGGCCTGCTCTGCCCATCCTGCCCCCAGGGCACTCTGAGATGGCAATTGAGACTGGGCGGGGTGGTACACACCTATAATTCCAGCTCTTGGGAGGCTGTACACAGGTGGACGACTATGAGTCCGATCTAGTAGTGAGACCCTGAACACCTTGTAGACCCTTCCCTAAAA